TGTACGTGGCTGGCGCCTTAGCCAGTTGAGCTATAGGCGCCGAGCCCATGTTTTCTTCTTGAGAAAGATCTTTGGAGGGTGAAAGATGAGAAAAGCAATCGTTGGCCAGGCAAGGTGGCTCACGCTTGTAATCCTAGCACTCTGGGAAGCCCGAAGCCTGCAGATCACTTGAGCTCAGGAGTTGGAGACCAGCCTGAGCAAGAATGACACCTTGTCTCAACTAAAAATGAAAAACTGAGGCAAGAGGATCACTTGAGCCTAAGAGTTTGAGGTTTCTGTGGGCTACGATACCATGGCTTTTTATTGAAGGTGAAAAAGTGAGACTCTGTCTCCAAAAAAAAAAGTTCTGGCATAAAACCTCATTATATATGTCTTTAGGTCAAAAAAGTTTAAATTCTGGAAAAGAAAAAAAAAAGCAGGTTAATACAGAGTTTCTAGGAAAGACTCCCAATACTAATTCAGTAGAGAAAGGGAAAACTTTTTTTCAAAAAATTTCAGAATTGTATTATGAGGGTACAAACCATTATAATGTTTGCCTTTGTTAGGTAGGTCCCTGTTGTAGTTGTGTGCCACACTTAGGAGTTGTGCCATTTACAAGGAAGGGAATATCTTGGCTGTTCACTTGTTGCATGTTTTAACCCATTTCCCTCTGACAATAACAGGAAATTTAGTCTGTACCTCCTCCTTTTCCTTCTTAAGTTGATTTCATTTTTTTTTCCTAGGTATAAGTGTATTGGTTAGGACTCTTGGCTAGAGTGAAACCCAAAGGATACTTTTTAAATAATCAAAGTGGGGGACCTAGGTGAGATTTACTTTTTCCCGTTGAAGTCATTTATTCCTGTCTTTGAAGATTGTCATTCTCTGCTCCTCTGGCCTCAGAACCAAGTAACCAAGATTTCATGCTACAGCCCCACAGAAAGCCTAACTTCATCCCAATTCCAAATTTCAAGGAGAGAAATCACATGGCTACTATCAGATCAGGTCTGATCAGAAATCAGACCAGCTAGGCCAGGAGCATGGACCCTCGGAATAATGGCTGCCATTTATTATTGACTTAGTGGCAGGTGCTATTCTAAGCATTATCTTACTTGATCCTCAAAAAACATTGAGCATATAATCCCTATTTTACAGATAAAGATACCAGTGGGAAAAGAGTTAAATAACTTGCAGTACAGCTAATGAATGTCAGAGCAGGGATTCAAAACTTGGCAACTCTAACTCCAGCCCAAATGGGGTAGAAGGACCCTTCTGCAGGGGGGATCCTAGAGTAGCTCAACGAAGTACCTTTTTGCTACGTTATTATTTCTTTGCTTTAAATATTGCATTTTCCTGGTGTAAATTCCTGTGTCCATATTCCCAAACTAAGGAATTCACACAGCTGCCTCCCCAGAAATCCTCTTGGTCTGTTGCAGATTGTTTGAGGTGAATAAATAATACCCCAAGGCAGTTGTAAGCAGCTTTGCAATTAGACACGATCCCCTTGTCTTTAATTGGAGCTGAAACCAACTGAGTTTAATTGCTTCTGCACTGACCGTCCTAGATTCATTGAGGAAAAAGGATATTGTCAGGTAATTACCAAGTTGTTCATTCCACATCCTGGTTCTGAGCAGTAGCGAGCAAATAACCAAATTTTCTGATTTTAGATCAGTAAGTGCTAGGTTAAATCCCTGATTGTTCTTTGTGAGGCCTGCATTTGATCTTCCTGTTTCACACTTTACCCAAGTACTTCATTAGACACTAAATCCTTAAAACTGAAATTCAGCAACATCCATCACATTCTAAAGTGTCTCTGCATTTATATTGATTGTGAACACTTTCTGTGAACCAGACCAAACTATACTTGAAAAGAAGATTCATTCCCTTAATCCCTGGAAGGAGGAAGGGAGACAGATTGGCTGTGACTCCGGAGATAAAGATGTTTATTGTTAAAGTTCTTTGGGTTGCCATGGGTGAAGCGATGTGCATAATGCCTGTAGTGCTTGTCTGGAATGTTGTTATTATTATAGCCTCCTGTAGCCAGTAACACTGCTTTTTAAACTGTGTTTAAACGTCATTAGCTGGGGGTTGGGGGCCTGTGGCTCAAAAAGGAGGTGGCGGGTTCAAACCCAACCTCCAGTTCTTGGGCTAGGGTAATGCTCTTGCCTTAGCCTTCCAAGCAGCTGGGACGACAGGCATCTGCCACAACACCCAGTTATTTTTTGGTTACAGTTGTCGTTGTCGTTTAGCAGGCCCATACCAGGCTCGAACCTGCCAGCCTCAGTGTATGTGGCCAGTGCCCTACTCACTGACCTATGGGAACCAAGCCAAGACCCTGTATCTTAAAAGAAAAAAAGAAAGAAAGAACGGGAAAAAAAAGAAAATAGAGCAAGCCATGTGTAGAGGACAAGGCAAGACAACCAGCCAGAGCAGAAGCATTAAAATTCTGCCGAAGGGAAGAGAGAAGAACTGAAATGCCTTAGACGTGTAGTGTGAGTTGAGTGTGCGATACTAGAGGAATAGCAGAGATTCACAGGGTCCACAGGAAGCGGGACTCACTGTCACAGAAACAAGTCTCTTCCATGCCTCATGACAGATTTGTTCCCAACCTGCCTGAGATCACTAGAGCCCTGCCCTTGAGCGTGCAGCCATATTGTACACTCAACACACCAGACCCCAGCAACAGGCAATTATAAGTGCTGTGTTGCAGGCTTGGCAGGCCTGAGTATTTGGTATCAGGTCTGTTCTGGGAAACTGGTAACAAATCACTGGGTAATCTGGGAAGTGCATGGGCCCTGACATAAAGCAGAAGAGAAGAGAAGAGAAATTATAGGGTCTGTGTGAGAAAGGGTTGTGTCTACTTTATATCTTTCACAGTGCAAGCCTTAGTGCTTTAAATGGAGTTGGTCTTTAGAAGTGTTGGTTGGCTGAAAAAATGGAATGAATAAAACAGAGTGAAGATATGAAAAAATGGGAGAGGAAGAGACCACAGCAAGGAAAATGAGAGAAAAGGGAAATGGGGACAGAAAGCAGAGGATGAAAGCAAAATAAAAATATGCATACAGCGGAAGGTAAAAGATATTTTTTGAGCACCTACTGCATGCCAGCCACAGGGCTCAGATGAGAGACAGACAAAGTTCCTGTTTTCACAAGACCCACCTTTTGTTGGAAGAGGCAGACTCCCAAAGGATAATATCTAAACTATTCAAAAATCGCAAATTGTGGCTCGGCACTTGTGGCTAAAGTGGCTAAGGTACCAGCCACATACACCTAAGGTGGTGGGTTCGAATCCAGCCCAGGCCTGTCAAACAACAACGACAGCT